TGTTTGATAACCATAAATCTAGCTTGGAAGGTGGACTAACGCAAATATGCCCGAAGAGATTCATTACGAGAAGGTAACAAAGGTCGACGTCGATCAGGAATGCTTGAGCTTTGGAGAGCATGACATGTTCAAGCGATCTCGGGAAGCTGGTCCGCGTGCAAGTATTGCCCAATGGGGCCTTGATGTTCGTCATAATCAGGATGACTGCGACCACTTTATAACAGGTGGGTTTTCCGAAGAAGGGCGGGAATCAATCTACTTGAAGTGTACTAGTCCATAAATACACCGTACACTTGCATACACCACTACGTTGTATGTACACGAATGTGACACGGTGTGTACACGAGAATTCCAGATTGTACACGAAAATGTTACACGAACACGAATTAGGTTACACGAATTCGAGTAGCGGTTACACGAGCGTACACGAATACACGAGGGGTGTACACAAAAAAAACTATGCCCCTATAGGAGCACCGCGGCGCACGGAATGCACTTGCTACAGGCATGCTTTTGCAGCGATGCCGCTCGAGTAGGACGTACAAGAGAGCTACTACCACATGCAAATCAGACGCTATGAGCTACGGGCGCAGAGAGGAAAAGAAAACAAGTTGTAAAGGTTATACATTGTCGAGTATGCGCAAGTTCCGGTCTGAATTGCACGAGCAGATCATACAACGTTTGGACCCTATGCGTACATATGAATCATCAGTCTGTAAATCGTCACTGAGCAGCTTCCACAGCTCATTGCTCCTCATCCTCTTCGTTCCCAACAAGATCATCCAAATCGGACAATGGCTTGGTCGCAACGGTGGAGCCCGAGATCTGAGCTGTGAAATCCAAGTCGCTCGCCATGACTGGTAGTTTGACCCCATTGCCCAGAGAAACTGCGGAGGCTGGGGTCGATACATTGGCAACCTGGGAAGCAGTGGCAGGAAGGGAAGACGGTGACGGCGCTCGATTTGTTCTTCCTCGCACGTTTCTTGAGTCGGTCGACCTCACCGCGCACAGAGGACACGTTGGCGGGGAAGATGGTCTGAGAGGTGCTTGCTGCCTCGTTCCGACCAATGGGAAGGCGAGCGGCAGGAGTAGGAAGCTGACCCGGTGGATGCGCACGGGGAACAGCAAAAGGGATTGCGGTGGGACCGCGAACAGCGTGAGAGCTGCTTAGAGCTGCTTGACCCACGGGAGCTGGCAAAGTGACGCTCACGGCGGGGAGTTGGCTCCCAGCGTGATCGCCGTGTCCTGGTTGAATGATATGTGACACCACGCTGGAAGGATGGGGGTGTGGAAATGATGCGTTACCCCTTGTGAGGGGATGGTTCGAGGGCGCCGACGTGGGTGGCGGATGGGTATGCGTTGGCGGCAAAGAATGAGTTTGCATGTGGAGAGAGTGCGACTGTGCCATGCGAGAATCACAAAGCTCGTTCCGTGTGACTGGATTGGGGCACGGTTAGCAAGATGTGAATGGCTGAGTAGGGCGACGAGCTCCGAAGATAGATGGGTTCGTGGGGAAGATAAATTGACGTGATGTGCTGTCCCAGCCAATAGGTTTAGTAGCCCAATCCAAAGTTCTGTGGTCGATCGTCGCAGCTAAATGTTCATCGTGGGCCTGAAGCTCGTCAGAGTGAAAGCTGATATCGAGTGCCTTCCCTTCAACCAAATCGCGAGAGGACATTTCCTTCAACCGGATAGCCTCCTGCAATCTCCACCAACGCTCCGAGCGATCGCGCACCGTCATTTCTACACATTTCTGCGCCAACGTCAACATGACCTTCTTAATTGGACGAAGTACTACCAGTGTGAAGACAAAACAGTTTCGGTAGTACCGGCGTGTCGTAGTATAGGTGTCTTTCTTGGACTGTGTTGTATTCATTGTACTATCGCACGGTCTACTCCACTGGGCGCATCCTGATCCATTGTGCTGACACAGGCTTTGGTCCTTAGCTTCCCATTGGAATGGTCCTTTCTCGCGCTCAACGGTGTGTACTTCGGGACTATATTCGATGTGCAACGTACTGGATTGTACGAGTTAGATGAGAAAGGCCTACTCGCCAATTTCGGGAAATCTGTAAACCACTCGATCTGGGGTGACTGTTAGGAGGGAGTACTTACTGCGGTGACTTGTTTGTATTCCCGCTTCGAGCTGCAATGTGAGTGCATTTAATACATTTGCCACTGCATTGATACCGCGTTTCCATATCGTACCTCCGAAGACGCGAAGCCTTTTTCATTCTACCTCTTGCCAGAGATGTGAGAAAGAAAGTAGCACAACGAGCCGAACGAGTAATGACTTCCTGCCTAACACTTCTGTCTGGCCATTGTGAGCAGAATGAGGACCAGCACTAAAGACATCTTCCATCGGTTTCGTGGTCTAGTGGTTATGATTTCTGTCTCACAGTGGGATTCAATGTCGCATAGCGTCACACAGAAGGTCCCCGGTTCGACCCCGGGCGGAACCAATTTTTTCTGCCCGCTTGCATCAGTGCCAAGGCCAACGATGGCACGCGGGTGGCCGCCGGCGTTGCAATCGTCAGACATTTTGCTTTTGACTTTCCATCACTGGCCATGTACGACGGACGACGAACAATGCCTTCATCCATCCATATGCAATCAAGATCGTCCCCCAATTCATCTCAGTCGGATAGCTATGACCCACAGAAACGGAGGAGTACTTTCCACATTCAACAGAGCTGCGGCACAAACTCTGCCACCGAATCACTGGGCTTATCTCTTTCTGAATCTCAGAGCTACACGCTCATGCCCAGACGTCAAGATGAGCATCATGTTTGAACTTAGGGTGGCATCTCAGCTTGGTCTTGTATTCGCGTACGCTCGCCTCTTCTCAGCCTAAATGACACGTCGAGGATGTCCATTTTGTCAGGCAGTGGAGCAACAACGCTGAAGGATCGTCTAAAGCTGATTTGAAGACACAATTCGACAAGGAGCAAATTCATCTAGTCGCCGTCGAACACTTTTCTCTCCTAGGTTTATCCCAAACTTTGTCTTGAGCAGGATCGTGGGCCTCGTCGTTGTGTTCGACCTGTACGGCCATCCATCCCCTCCTGATTGGTTGATCCTGTCCACAAGTCATGTATCTTCCCCCTCTTCCTGGAAAATATATTCGCGTTGTCACCTCTCGGAGATGGACTGTGCTGGAACCCAACACGCACATGTCTGCCTCCACCCGTTGTGTTCGCTATCGATTGCTAATGAGACTTCGCTGGTACAAATGCTATGCTATGCTTACCTTGACGCTTCAAGATTATAATCGTACCCACGGGCTCAAGTCTATGCACACCGCTCATGCAGGCTTCCATATGTTGTACCGAGGGCTTCATTCACTATTGTCCATGACACGGTAACAATAGTTTATAACACGAAAGCAATGGAGCGACGACGACTCGGAACTACAATCTTACAATCGAGAGCTCTTCAGCCTTTCTGCTTGCGTATCCGGCGTACGCTGAATATGGGAGAGATCATCGCCGCCACCACCGTCATGCTTCCATGTCTAAATCATCACGATACGCTTCAGGCTCAATGATCAGGTCAGAATAAACAATCAGGTACTAACCACTCGCGTCTCTGTATCAGTGGAATTCGAGCCATCGGTTGGTGCGAAGTTAAACGTTGCCGACTGAGCACCCCGAGCTTGTCGGTTGGCACCTCCATGCGAGCCACTCTCATGCGCTGCGGTAATGGTCAGCTGGAGGGCCGACTCGACGAGCTCTTGCCTGAATGTGTTGCGAGCGTTCAATGTAGCAAGAAGGCAGTTTGTGTATACTGAGATCCGCAGTAAGCGATCTGTATTGAATCACCGGTTCTGTGCTTACAATTGCCCTCGACGACGAATATTCCCAGGGCGGTGAGACTAGTGGCTCCATAGATGATAAGCTTTCAAATGATCGTCGTCAGTCGAAGCTTGCTGGGAGGATCAGACGAGAGGAGTGCAGACCGTAACGAGCACCGCAATGTCTACAAGGCTGTAATCAACGTAAAAGTACGTGTCAAATTTCGAACCCTGACGTTTTGCTAGGCTACTTACCACGTAAGAAGGCCATTATTGATGGCTATAACAATCATTCTGTTCAGCACAGTATCTGTGCGTCTTCTCCCACTGCGACTGTGATGGAGGCAATACGTCAAAGAAGTAGCAATGGTGATGTCTGTCGCCAACGAGAAAGCTGTCGCTGGTCGAGCATAATACTACTCAGACGCCACCGAACTTCGTCAGTTGCTCATAGAAACAGTTGTCCAGAGTGGGAGGACACGCACGAAGCTAGCATTCATATTCGTGAAAAGTTGCAGCTTGAGCCTTGATGCGCATTCTCCAAGTTAGTGTATAGAGCAATGGCTGCCGCAGAGAGTGCCGCGACTCACGCGATGCCCGCGAAAGCTAGAGTTATCACAGAACGATTGATAAGAACGTATACTTGCAAAGCTGCGTCGAAACTCACCGAACCAGTTACCTTGCGCCAGCCGTTCAGACTCAGTAGCGGGCCTCGAATCAAGATGATATGTTACACACCTGCTCTCGCCAAAGCGAACGCAGACTGCTCCATGATAAGCAACACACTCAAGACCTGCGCAATAGACACGCACGATAATTACAGGCAGCCACCAGACGCGTCCACTTACTGTGCTCGGCACGAATGCATTATTAACAAACTAAATTTGCGGTTGTGACCAGATTCTCACCGACGAAGACGCGATGGGCGTAGAAGATATGGGTCACCAATGCTGTGCACGCCTGACTGCACTGAGCAACAGCACTCGAAGCTCGAAGACAGTGACCCGCTCACCACAGTAAGAACACTCGTCTGCAAAGCTTCCGTTAGGAATTCGAACGAGACATCGAACTTGAGGTCTAAGAACAAATGCGCGTACCGTAGTGGACCTGTATTCAGAGCTCGTTTAAACTATGAAGCTCATCAAAGGAGGGAGAAGCGTACCAGGACACTTTCAGAGGTTCCCCAGGATGGGATGGGTTTCGGATGAGAAACCAGTACATTCCGTGAATGTTCAGGGCAGCATGAAATGATTCCAGTACGCTATATATTTTGGTTCATACCGATGCAACTCCCAATTCTTGGGTAACAACTCACAGTAATATTGCGACCTGCCAACACGGTAAGTCCTCCAGCTGAGTCTTAAGTAGGAGAGAATAACACAACCTATCACGTACCATAATCTTAACTCTCAAGCGATCCGAAGGGTAATTTCGATAGTAGATGAAGGTTTGCAGGCAAGTGATACCAAACAATCTACATTATTCGAGCAGTCCGTCAGCAGGGGACTTTTCGTTGCAAAGTTACATACGCCGTGGATCCGTACGTCCCAAGCAAATACGGGAGAGCAGCGACCTGAAGATCCCCCGGTTTCGGTCCAGCTTGCTCGAGAGTTGAATCCATGACGCGACGCGTCGCTGAGAACAGATGAGGGGAAGATTACTGGCTAGCAAGCGTATCCAAGCTCATTTAACACAGTCTTCAACAGCTAACCGCCCGGCCAGTAGTCGGTGTTTCGGGCCCCAATATGTACTCTATATCTTACCGGCCGCGATCCGATCGCCGCCACTTGGTTGGCGTCGTGCAAATGACCTTGGATCCCTGAGAAAGTAGATGTTTGTCGTTACATACTGTAGGAGCTCTGTCTTGTGGTGTTATCGTACGCCGGCTAGAGATGATGATCATCCATCATCTTGCGAAGGTGTGTGCCATACATAGCTGTTCGAACAGCCCGCATGATCGACGAGCCAAGATGATGACGATGAGCTCCCTACTGTACTGGCTTCAGACACGCTGGGCATTTCCTTTCAGCAAATGTTTACGTGGACGTGTTCGAGCGCCCAATAATTCATGTGAGATCATCACAAACACCACAGGCAAACAACGCAAAGAAATTGTGGATTGTGTCACTGTCCATGGCTACACTCCGAGTGATGCGACGTGATGGGGTGACGACGACAAACGGATAAAGTGCATGTAATTACAGTGTACATCAAGTTCCGTGAGCAGTGAGTATACAATGTAGCATACAAAGCTGGAGATGATACCTTATCTCAGTACACTTGGGTCACTGAACAACGCGGAGTGACTGGGAAACGAGAAGCATGTGCCCAATGCAAAGCACTGAGCAGCTTCGAGCGGGTAAATACAACGCGATGTGAGAGAGAACTTGTGAGATTCCGCTGATCGGCTTTGGGTGGCGTACTGAACAGAAGAGTCTACGTACGAAGCATCTCCGTTCACCTACTGAAGTCCATCCACCATACAAGCCACTTAACCATCCCACGTTAGAGGTCTCAAGTAATCGGTGCGTCGACGGCATTGAGCTCACCATAGCCTGCATTCCACCTATCATGACGATCGATGACAGCTTTGCTCGACAGTCGCACACTCAACACACGAGCGCGAAAGCAAACAGTGTAGAACATGTACTCAGTATATTATCTCATACTAAAACGCATGCATGCAAAGTATCTCAGCGCCCTCGCGCCGAGAAACGGGCGCCATCTTTTTTGTGTACCTGTCTGTACCTGTCTGTACCGTCTGTACGTGTCTGTACGTACAGACGTGCGTGTCTGTACCCACGTGCATATTATATGTTTACTACGTACTGATATAACAGAATGTGTGCCGTGGAATTCTATATACACGGAGGGCGCATCCATGATCTCGTTCCTCCAACGCTCCTTTATGTCTGAAAGAGATTGAGATCTTGCACGAGGCTGACGCACCCAAGCGACCACGCGGGCGCTCGTGTCAAATACCTCGAATATTTCTCTGTTTTGCTGCACACACACAGTCACATGCGCAAGCAGCGCCAGAAATCGCACTTGCGCCAGATGCATATCTGAGCGCTCAGATTTTTTGCTCTGCGTACCGGAATAATGGCTATGAGCACCTTCAGCCCAATCTCATATGTACTGTCTGTGTTGTGTGTACGCCACAGACGTCTGTACCGGTCTGTATCACGTCTGTGCGTGTAAGTAATTCATGAGCGGACAAACCAAGCTTTAGAGCTTGAGTGAAGGGTGCGAGTGTGTTCACACTGCGAGTCGGTAGGGACGTCGTTGCGGGCCTCAAGCTATGTACGTGCGCTATCGATCCTAGGGGGTATAAATGCTGCTCATCGCATTATGCAGGCTACTATTTAATTCATCGAGCCGTATACTGTGTACCGCTGCGAGGGAGGGAGTGAGTCATAGTCAATCCCTAGTTAACCTTGAGCCGAATCACTTGCGTGACTCGGGCCTCAGCTCAATACAGCATGCACAGCGAGTCACTGCGCTACTTTGGTCGAGTCTGCAGACCTCAAAATAAACATCCAAAGGCCAGTGCCGACTTTGAAGTTCTCTTGGTTGGCTGATCGGGTGTTCACGCATTCCTAAGCCAGAAACATCGTCATCAGGATCGCTCCAAGTGTCCTAGATTGTGGACGCTGCGCGTTGAGAATG